TGCCCTTCCAGAGTGGCACCTGGGCTAAAAAAATTTCAGTGGATTTACCAAGATAATTTGGCAAGAATCTCCCTCCAGTAAAGCAAACTGTGAACTGACTCATTCCTATTGGTGTAGTCAGATTATCTTTGCCTTAAAAAAAAAAAAAAAAGGCAGAACTTTCATTGGAAGGTCAACAAAGTGTTTCAAGGCAGGTCCTCTGGAAATCCAGTTAACTTGTGAAATGCAGCCACGAACAACTCTTTCTCCCATTTCTTGACAACAACTCTCGCAGTAGCACTGTGTCAGCCCTGGCTCTCGGGAGGTTGACAACGTTTGTAGAAATAGACGCGATTTTTTCTGGCTCGCCAGCGGAGTCGTTGACACCGGCTGACACCACTGCCTGTGGAGATGAAAAACCCGTTTCTTCACCAAAGCGGCAGAACCAGATGTGTTGCCAAGCATCACAGATGCTCCCTCTGAGCCCAGCGTGCCAAGATTCCTCTTCTGCCTGAAAGTTTGTTTGGCAAAGAAATGCTTCACCATGTTAAAGCATTGACTGTGCAATTCTAAAAGGAGTTCACAAAGTAGGAATTCTTCCTTGGTCGTGAGAGCTTGCCAACAGGAGTTGGCTATGTAAATAGAAACATCTATTTTCATTAAGCTACAAGCAAACGGGAAATATTAAAGAAATGTCAGAGATGCTGTAGTGTTGACATCATTCAATGAGGACGCAACTTTTCAAGAAACGTGTGGCTTCACCAAAAATCTTTCCAGTGATATGTGAGTTATTTTTCTTGGTGATGTGAACTCATCAAAAATGTTGCAGTATGAGTTTTTTTTTCTTGAATCAAATCCAAAGTCAGGTAGAAATCCTGGGCTTTATGAGTACCGGTATGAGCCCTTGCTGCTCCAGTTCTGATCCAGCTGCCTATTAATGCGCTTGGGAAAACAACAGAAGATGGCCCAAGTGCTTGGGCCCCTGCCACCCAGGTGGGAGACCTAGATGGAGTTCATGGCTCTTGGCTTTAGCCTGGCCCAGCCCCAGCCATTGTAGACATTTGGTGAGTGAACCAGCAGATGGAAAATTGATCTCTCTCTCTCCTCTCTCTTCTCTCCCTCTCCCTATTGAATAAATAAATCATTGAAAAATCCCAGTCTTCAGAACTGGAGGTGGTCTTATATAAAGGAAAAGATCCTCGATGTCTAATAGATACGCAGAGTAGGCAGTCTAAGATTATTGATTGCATGCTTCCATTGGCCAGAATCTTGCCAGGCAAAAACTGCTACAGTTTTGTGGTCTATCATACTATATAATTAATATAAAACAGATATGAAACTTCATGGCACTATTTTTTTTCTTAAGCTAGATTCAAAGTAAGCAAAGATACCTGACTTGCAATCCCATTAGTGGGGGGTTTTTACTTAGAGACTTATCAACAGGAAATGGTTCTAGAGGTCTTACTATGGTAGTGATGATATCGCCTGTCTTTCAGCCTTTGGTGGCGTCTTATGTTCAGAACATACTTCCCTGCCCACTAGGGTAGTTTGGCTAGTGCATACCACTTCTAAGCACAAGGTTTAGGAGTCGTCATAGATGCTGCCGTCTCTCTTTGCCTTCTGCACCAAGGCCAGCCCTTATATCTAATTATAATATTAAAAACATCAAGTCCCAAGAATGGTATGGACTAAGATACCAGCCTAGACTGAGTTATGTTGCAGTAACAAAGACCTCAAAATCGCCGGCACCGCGGCTCACTAGGCTAATCCTCCGCCTTGCGGCGCTGGCACACCGGGTTCTAGTCCCGGTCGGGGTGCCAGATTCTGTCCCGGTTGCCCCTCTTCCAGGCCAGCTCTCTGCTGTGGCCAGGGAGTGCAGTGGAGGATGGCCCAAGTCCTTGGGCCTTGCACCCCATGGGAGACCAGGAAAAGCACCTGGCTCCTGGCTCCTGCCATCGGATCAGCGCGGTGCGCCGGCTGCAGCGCACCAGCCGCGGCGACCATTGGAGGGTGAACCAAAGGCAAAAGGAAGACCTTTCTCTCTGTCTCTCTCCCTCTCACTGTCCACTCTGCCTGTCAAAAAAAAATTATAATTAGATATAAAATATTTTTTTTTACTAGAGCAATGAGAACCTAAGAAAAGAAGTTTAAAAATACTTTTTTCTTTGTAAGTTCACAGACCTACACTTTTCTCCCTGGAAAGCCCAGTCTCGGATAGAGGTTGAACTATTTTGCTATTGCATGTCTCTAAGAGTAAAATCTTCTCCTTGTTCCTTAAACATGTATTGAGGGACAGGTTACTGGAAAGATCACGATAAATATGACTGAATAGGATCCATTCAGGAGTCATTGTCCGCGAGGGCACTCTTTGTTTTGTAAGCCAAATACAATAAAGAATGTTATAATAACTTTATGCATAGTTTAGTGAGAAAACAGGAGAGAACCATCTTTATAGACTTGTTAGCAAACGTTCCACAAAGGAAGCCGTATTGGGTTTGGTCTCGATGGGTGAATGAGAAGGTACCAGGGAATGTGGCATTCAAAATCAAGGCATGTGTAGAACGGGAGGTGTGAGACACTCCAGAGAGGAAGCAGAGGGGAATGACTCTGGAGACGTAAATTTAAGACCGAAGGCTTTGGCCATCATCTCACATGATGAAGAACATCTTCACATGATGAAGAACAAAAGAAAGGATTTCTAAGTAATTCTTTAATTCTTATTTGCAAGACAGAGTTCTCATCTTCTGGTTCGTTTCCCTGGTGCTTGATGGCTGCTGCTGGGCCAAGCTGAAGCCAGGAATCGGGAGCTCCATCCATGCCTCTCACATGGGTGGCAGAGACTCAGTCACTCAGGCTGTCACCTGCTGCCTCTATATTAGCAGGAAGTTGGATTTGGGAGTGGAACCGGGGGTCAAATGCGAGCACTCCAGTGCAGGACGCAGGAGTTCCCACCAGCCTCTTAACTGTTAGCCCCAGTGCCCAGCTGTCACAGGGAATCTTTGCTTTATGAGGAGCTCTTGGGGTGGTGCTGTGGTGCACTAGGTTAATCCTCCGCCGGTTCTAGTCCCGGTTGCTCCTGTTCCAGTCCAGCTCTCTGCTATGGCCTGGGATAGCAGTGGAGGATGGCCCAAGTGCTTGGGTCCCTGTACCCACATGGGGAACCAGGAAGAGACTCCTGGCTCCTGGCTCCGGATTGGCGAATCTCTGGCCGCTGCAGCCATTTGGAGAGTGAACCAACAGAAGGAAGACCTTTCTCTCTGTCTCTCTCTCGCTCTCTGTCTGTAAACTCTACCTGTCAAATAAATAAGAACTCTTTGGCATCAGGGCAGAGGCTGGAATAAGAAGGAAATGAGACTCTCTAGGAGGTACCACAATCATTCTAGCCAAAAACAAAGGCATCTTTAATATAAACAGTAATTGTGATAAGAAGTTTAATATATAGTTTTAATAGTAACTGTTGTAAAATTATTGAAAAATTTGTGTTGAATAGGGTAAGTGAAATTTTAGTGTTGTGGATGATGTGAGATGCCTGGCTAAGAAATAAATTAATGTAGTTCTTTAGATATTTCAAAGAGCTTCCCTTCTTACCTTTTTTTTAAGATTTAATTATTTACTTTAAAAGAGTTATACAGAGAGAGGGGGGAGGGGAGGGGAGGGGAGGGGTCTTCCATCCAATGGTTCACTCCCCAATTGGCTGCAATGGCTGGAGCTGTGCTGATCCAAAGCCAGGAGCCAGGAGCTTCTTCAGGGTCTCCCACATGGGTGCAGGGGCCCAAGGACTTGGGCCATCTTCTTCTGCTGTCCTAGGCCATAGCAGAGAGCTGGATTGGAAGTAGAGCAGCTGGGACTCGAACCTGTGCCCATATGGGATGATGGCACTGCAGGCAGTGGCGATACCCACTACACCACAGCGCCGGCCCCCTTCTTACCTTTTCTTTTTTTAAAAAAAACTTTACTTACTTGAAAGGTAGGGGAGAGGAAAGGAGACAGGGATCTCTCATCTGCTGGTTCACTCCCTAAATGTCCACAATAGCCAGGGCTAGGTCAGGTTGAAGTCAGGAGCCTAGAACTCCATCTGGGTCTCCCATGAGGGTGGCAGGAATCTAACTACTTGAATCATCACCTGCTACCTTCAAGGGTGTTATTAGCAGCACACTGGAATCAGGACTTGAGCCAGCACTTGAACCCAGCCATTCCAGTATGGGGTGCAGGTGTCGCAGGTGTTGGCTTGACCACTGCACCGAGTGCCCTATCTTGTTACCTTTTTCAGTACTCACAGTAGCTCTATGGATGAACTATCAACTTCCATTCCGATGCTTGAGCATCAGGAAGATTAACTTGGCTGGTGTGGTGGTCACTAAGTCTACTCACCAAGTAATGGGGAAGTAATTGAGTCTAGAAACAAAGGAATTAGTGAAGAAACTGAGACCAACAAATAAATCCTTGAACTGATTGTTCTTCCCAGACGTGTTGTAGCAAAGCCTGTTGACCCACCTGGAGACGACACAGAGACTACTTAGAATGAAATTGGCCGTCGATAGCCCATTCTGTCAGTATAGACCTAGCCAGTGTCTGTGTACCTGCCCAGCCCTCTTGGCACTGGGCCTTGACAGCATTTGGAAAAATGTTGACAGCCAGTCCAAACGCGGTTCCCCCACCCAGTGTGCTTTCAGGATGCACAGATCCAATGTGGAATCAAGAGGGATGAATGTAAAAGAGAGCAAAATATTTTCAATGCGTCCAGCATTGATTCAGGAGGAAGGGAATATAGTAATTGTGTATATGCTGACTTTGGTCTAACAGTCATTAGGACTCTCTGAGGCTGGAAGAACCAGTCTATCGAGCAGCAGGTACCACTGTCTCTGTTGTACAATGAAAAGACTGAAACCTCTGAGACTAAAGTAACTCATTAAAAGTCAAGACGGAAGTGAAACAATCATACTTCAAAGTCTGATCTAAAGACCAACATTCTTAACAACAAACTCCCCAGAACTTAGTGTCCCAAAGTAATAATAATTTACCTTGAATTTCTCCTTCATCGTTCCATGGGTTGACTGTGTTCACGTGAACGGTTCTTGCTTGAATCTCCCGTGTGTTTCTAGACCGAAGCCCAGGAGGCAGCCGTCTGAAGAAGCAACCAGGCTAGGTGTTCACTAGGTGGCTCAACCCAATGATTGTGGTGGTTGCTCACTTATGCCGTGGCAGCTTGGTTCTGAGAGGCTGAATCCAAAGCAAATGTTTGAAAAGACTCAAGCAGAAGCTGCAGTGTTTCTTCAACGGAACCCTTAAAGTCCTACAGAGCTAGTTATACCACATTCTTTTAGTCAAGCAGCGCACTTAAGGCCAACCCAGATTCAAGGAGAAAAGGACTTTAGTTTTACCTCTTGGTAGGGAGTATCAAGTTCACATTGCATAAGAACCTCTAAAGTAGGACAGCTTTAGAAAATAAAATCAGGGGCTGGTGCTGTGGCATAGCGGGTAAAGCTACCACCTGCAGTGCCAGCATCCCATATGGGCGCCAGTTCAAGTCCTGGCTGCTCCAGTTCCCATCCAGCTCTCTACTATGGCCTGGGAAAGCAGTAGAGGATGGCCCAAGTCCTGGGGCCCCTGCACCCACATGAGAGACCAGAGGAAGCTCCTGGCTTCAGATCAGCACAGCTCCGGCCGTTGCAGCCAATTGGGGAGTGAACCAGCAGATGGAAGACCCCTCTCTCTGCCTCTCCTTCTCTCTCTGTGTAACTCTGACTTTCAAATAAATAAATAAATCTTTTAAAAAAAATCAGTCACAATTTCCAAAGAGCAAATACTACTACTAAATAGATGCAGTGTAGCATTGAGGCATATGGAGTTGATTGTTTACCAGGAGTTTCTTTATCTAAGCTTTATCAGCATGCGGTGCTGCGTTAGGTTATCTCAAAAATGAAACAAACATGGCACCTTCCAACTGCCAGGTACGTCATCCTGTGTACTGATTTTTTGGTTGTGACTTGTAAGCAGCAAGGGACTGACTGGGTTGTTCTCTGCTCCTCCACTGCAGAAGTGCCTAGCTTACGGTTCAGGACTCCAGCCAGAACTCTCCCCTTCTGGTTGACTCTGCGCTGAGGCTAGTTGAGAAGCAGGAAGAAGCTGCAAAGAGATCCCTGTGTAAATTGCAGTGGTACCCATTTTCCTCCATTGAGAAGGAGGACAAAATGTCAATGGACCATTTTCAGGCTTCGCCTACTGGTCCAGGCTGTCCAAAAGAAAAAGTCGGGTGAGGAAGCGAAAGTGCAGAATATTATCTTTTTTTTTTTTTTTTTTTTTTTTTTTGACAGGCAGAGTGGACAGTGAGAGAGAGAGACAGAGAGAGAAAGGTCTTCCTTTGCCGTTGGTTCACCCTCCAATGGCCGCCGCTGCAGCCGGCGCACTGCGCTGATCCGATGGCAGGAGCCAGGATCCAGGTGCTTTTCCTGGTCTCCCATGGGGTGCAGGGCCCAAGCACCTGGGCCATCCTCCACTGCACTCCCTGGCCATAGCAGAGAGCTGGCCTGGAAGAGGGGCAACCGGGACAGAATCCGGCGCCCCGACCGGGACTAGAACCCGGTGTGCCGGTGCCGCAAGGTGGAGGATTAGCCTATTGAGCCACGGCGCCGGCCGAATATTATCTTCTTAAAACATACTAGTTTCCTGCTTTCTAGAAAATGTTATTTAAAATTGCCAGCAGCTCACTTTCAGTATTTTACTAATTTGTTCAAGGACATTTCTCATAGGATTTAGAAGATCACGGATATCTCTACAAATTTTTGTTTTAGGAACTCCTACGTAGCTCGGTGAAGATTCTTTTCCAGTATCCCGGAGCTAATATTTCTCTGATGCTGTATGACAGCTTTGTGTGGCGGTTCAAATCAATAGCCTACATGTTATGCACGTTAATGCATTTTCTTGAATCTGGTATCTTAGCCAAGTATTCTGATCAGGAGTGACTTGGGGATGGAGACAGAAACGGTGTTCTCTTTGTGATTCTACACTGGAATATTTTGGAGACATACAAGGCAATATGATAAACGAATGTACAGCTGTGGCAGTCTGATAATGTAAGATTGTATCGATTATCCAACAGAGTAACTACCCTGGGTATTAGGTTTGCTTGTCACAACCATCAGTGCCTGGGGTAGTAGAACAAGTTCTTTTTTTTTTTCCCATTGAGCTAACCTCAAAGTCGCATAGTTTCTGAATCAAGGTCCTCAGATTTCATACTCTGGCAATTTCTTTCCTTTCTAATGGGGTATATTAGAGAAAATGTGTCACCTTTTGCACCATGTAATACCAAATCAGATCAGAATTCATGCACAATTATGTCAGTGGAAATCTAATAGTACCGGCTGCCTTATCTCTAGATAACACGTGGAAAAATAAACTTCCACAACTGACAGATTTTCCTGATTCTGTTTCAGATAAGTTATTTGTAAGCAATTGAGCTAAAGAATGTAACTGGATTTTTTGATATTCCACACACATACACACACACACACACACACAAACCCAAAATCCTCAACAGTGAAATGACTGCTAAGTATTCCATCTTTGTCGCCACCTTCCCCCCACCCCAATATAGCTGTTTTGCATCAGCTATATTTATTAGGAGAACTAATGACTTTAGGAACACAAAATTTACATAAATCACTGTGAAAATACCTTTCATTGCTAGTTAATGGTATTTAAGTGACACAGGTTACTAGTTGTCTACCTGGGAATGATATTAAGCTACCTAAAAAGCATCCATCTGTATTTCTCTTTTATAAAAAAATCAGAAAAAAAAATCAAAGCGCATCACTAATCTGAAGTCTTTGTAAAGCCAATTAAAATAATTTAAGTTGTACTGCAAATGTGCTTTTTAAGTGTTTTAGACTTAGGATGGCTTAGAGATGTTGTAACCCCTTTTAATGTTACTATTTATATGTAACTACCATGTGTATAGTATTACACCTTAATGCACTGTATTAGCTGTCTCTTGAAATTAAGTGCAGACGTATTCTTTTTTGGTCTTCAGTTTCTTCTACGTGAAATGTTTAAAGAATGATAGCATTAGTAAGAGGGGGTCGCGTTCCCGGTGGGAACTAGCTTCTGCATCTGGTGGGGTTGGGTTCGGGTTTCTCCGCGGACGATACTGGAGTATCAGAGTCTCTTAGTGTTTACACACCTGGTATCCAGAACTCTACCTGCTGTCTGTTCTCAGGGAATTAATGGAACTGCAGCTTAGGGTAGGCGTGTTTGATAGATATGCTTTCTCTGTAGAGATCTGGTGATAATTCCATCAAAATTTGTCCCTCGTTGATCATACATCTACGCGTTTTTATATCTTTGTGGTTTTCTTCACCAACTCTGTGCTTGCTTCAGTGCCTTCATTAGAAGGTCATATTTGGAGGATTTAATAATTCACCTTGAAAATGTACAATAAGTGGAGTGTATCAAGCAAGGATTTTCTCCACTCAGCATGAATTTCATAGCATTAAGAAAAGGCAAATTCAGGAATAAAATAGTTTCTTGATATCTGTTTTTGATTTATATTAATAAATATAAATAGATGCTTATTGATTTCAGGTGTTTTCCTATTGCCACAAGCCATGCTCGCTTTCTGTGTTACAGTGATAGTGTGCAGACTTTCCTCGATGATGATAAAATTGTGCATTCTCCAAACATGCAAAACAATTAGTTTTAGTAAAACCGAGAGTCTTATGGCTTCTACTAAAACAATTGATGTGAAAATTAAAAATTATTATTTATTCACAAATATACACCTTCCCAAATCTAATTCATATTGATAGAACTTCCTGTGTGAGTCTTTTTTTCATAACAGGTAAAAGTAATATGTTTTATGTCCTAAAAGTTGATTGACTTTGTTGCAAGTACTTTGGCATTGATGCACATGTCCACAGCATAGACATGAAGGTGGAAGTATTCTAATTAAGAAAAAAAGTCAATATATAGTATGTTTGTAATATTCAATATGAGTGTTTCCGTTTATTCATATATTCACGCAATATACACTTAATAAATATTTGAGTACCTCTGACAACTATCTATACTTTTATTTAAGATTTATTGATTTGAGAGGCAGTGTTATAGAGAGAGAGAGGGGAGATAGGGAGAGAGAGAGGGACAAAATTGATCTTTCATCCTCTGGTTCATTTCCTAAATGGCCGCCACAGCCAGAGCTGGGCTGATCTAAAGCCAGGAGATTCTTCTGGGACTCCCACATGGGTGCAGGGACCCAAGGACTTGGACCATCTTCTACTGCTTTCCCAGGCCATAGCAGAGAGCTGGATCGGAAGTAGAGCAGCTGGGACTCGAACCGGTACCCATGTTGGATGCTGGCGCTACAGACTGGAGTTTTAACCCACTGCACCCAGCACTGGCCCCCCTCAGTTTTAAGTGTTGTCTCCCAAAACCCTTACTTTGATGTATTTATTCAGTCATCCAGCATCCATGTTGCTTTCAAAACATCATTCCAGGTGCTCTGAATAATTTAAGCAAAAATGAGATCTAACTGCTCTTCACAAGGAGCTAAAAATCCCTACGCTTTTCTTTCCTTCCAAGTTTGTTGTCTCTTTCCACCCTCTGGAACCGAAGTTGTCCCATCGTACCCTCAAACGCATTACATTTCAATGAGAACTCGTGTTCTTCCTCTGAAACAAGCTTCCTTTTGTGGCTAATGAATTCCTACCAGTAGCACAATTATTGTACTCATGAAGGCTAAAAAACTGAAATAATCTTCTATGATTCTCTAGTTTATAATCAAAGGCCTATAGATATGCTGTTGTGATATTCCTCATTGTGTTCCTTTCTCTTGAATCTGGATGAGATCTGCCTTGTTGTCTAGATGAAATACTTTCTGCTTATCTTCAAGACCCTTCCATCCTTTGAGATCCAGTTGAAATCTTCCCATTGAATTCTTTTTTTTTTTTTTTTTTTCTTTGGACAGGCAGAGTTAGACAGTGAGAGAGAGAGAGAGAGAAAGGTCTTCCTTTTTTTTTTTCTTTTTTTTCTTTTTCTTTTTTTTTTTTGACAGGCAGAGTGGACAGTGAGAGAGAGAGACAGAGAGACAGGTCTTCCTTTTGCCATTGGTTCACCCTCCAATGGCCACAGCGGCCGGCGCACTGCGCTGATCCGAAGGCAGGAGCCAGGTGCTTCTCCTGGTCTCCCATGGGGTGCAGGGCCCAAGTACTTGGGACATCCTCCACTGCACTCCTGGGCCAC